GCGATAGCAGACTTGGAGTCTGGAGCCCACATATTGATGGGTTGCTGGTCATGACTTATAAGCCCACAGTGAACAACTTCTGGGATGTGCGCAAAACATGGGCCAGGGGTGGTCATGGAGTGCAGTGTATGACTCATGTAAACAATGTAAAACATGTGCCAATGTGGTCATGGAATGCAGTGTACGAGTCATGTAAACCAAGCAAAACATGGGCCAGGGTGGTTATGGAATGCAGTGTACGACTCATGGAATGTGTGCAAAACATGGGCCCGGGTAGTCATGGAGTGCAGTGTACGACTCATGGAATGAGTGCAAAACATGGGCCAGGGTGGTCATGGCCTGCATTGTTGCATCATGGAATACCATGCACAATATGACCTGGTCATGTTCCGCATATTTATGAGCAGGTACATGACCACCTTTATGACCTCATGGGGTCATAAAGTGGAGCCATGACTGAATACGGTCATATTGCGGTCCCATGACCTGTCATAAATCCCATCATAAATGACATCATGACCACGCATTTCATGACCCCAACCAGTCATATCCTGCACTTGCTTATGCAAACTATGAACTGATCCATGACCGGATCCATGACTTAATGACAAATTATGACCGGATCCATGACCACATACATGACCAAATCCATGACTTGATGGCAAATTATGGCCGGATCCATGACCGCATCCATGACCAAATCCATGACTGGAAAACCCATCCATGACCAAGTCTTTCCCCGAGTGAAGGGCAGCAGCAGCCACAGGAGGACAAGTGGCCGCAGCATGGAACTGAAGGTCTGCCATCAACACCAAGCTGCCAAAGCTCTGGCACTTGGATGCTACTGCCACCACCAACACAGGCAGGGGTGCTTGGAGCGCTACTTCCATCACTGCATCCTCAGCTGCAATCAGTGGCACTTTTACAGCCGCAACCAAGCTTAAGGGCACGACCCAGTTTCACATCCAGGCTGCTGCAGCGACCCCGCATGGGTGAATGGTCTATGGGAGCGCCACCACCATCTCGTACTGTCAGTTGGGGCCACCGGGCGCTCTCAACATCATCTGGACAGCCCAACACAACCTCGCAACTATCTTTACAGCAGCAACGGTCGCTGCGTGCGCCACGGGGTGAGAGATGGGCCCTACCACGGCCAGGGCAGCCAGCTGGAGGTAATTGGGCGCGGCCGACATCACCCTCAGCGGCACCGATGCAGATGTCGGGATTTGCTAAGCATGGCAGCTTACTTCACCGGTCAGAGCCAACACAGCAACAGGCATCCGATCGGCCGGACACACTGGCGCCACTAGTAGAGGCTACTTTGTCGCTGAAGAGCAGCCGGACATTAGCACTTGAACTGCCGCTGCCGCCATGGATTTCGAACACGGTAATGCTGCCACCCTTATACCAGGACAGCTGGCAGCAACTACATGCACTGTCACCATCGAGTAGCTTCAAGGGAGATTGGTTGGTGCTACCGCCGCCCCCTTCGGAATCACACCTGCGTGATGCCGCGGTGCTGGAGGCGACGGGGGCAGCAGCAGCTGCTGCAGCCGAGGTGGCGGCAGCTGCTGCAGCATCACCATTATCAAAGAAGTACCCGTCCAGGGCAGATTCCATGCGAATCGTTGCCAAGGCATTCGCCGACGTTGCCAAGGCCTATGCCGATGCTGGCACTGCCGACGACTCAGCTGACACCGCTGACACTAACCACACCACCAACGGTGCCAACATCAGAATGCTTGGCACGGGCCCTAGGTTACTCTACCCTGATCCCCAGCCGCCATCCTTGGCTCTTCCCAACGAGCCCCCTGTACCAGGATTGTAGCCGACAATACTGGTGAACGAGAAAAGCATGAAGTGATAGCGTTATATAGGTTTACTGTTGTTTTTATTCCGTCAAATGAGAAAGACTCCGTGGCCCAGAGCCGACACGGGGCATGCCCAATCGGTCAGTTCATGGCCGTGCAGATGAACCCATCAGCCTAGGTCTCATCATATATCATCAGCAGCAGCCACATCATAATTATCAGTGATCCCTTCACTTGAAAGTACGACATTCTCTGGACTTGATGTCATGTTGCTAAGATGTTAACTGTTGTTGTGCGGGGTGAGAATGGTGCATTGCACTGATGTGTATCGTGTTTCTGAAGGTCATGTGCAGCAGGTACGTCTGCTGGCTGCTGGTCTGGTGCCACCGCACTCTGGGAAAGGTTTTCACCCGTAAATTCATGTTTACCCGTAATCACGTGGTCTTCACATGTAATTACCGGCCAAGAAAATTTGTACACATGCTTGTTTTTAAGTTGCCAAAGCATTCCTTTTATAAGGAATAACATAGGTGACATTTTGTTGGTTGCCCATGCTGGAAGTCATCCACAGTTTACATTACCCGTAATCACAAGGTCTTGACCCGTAATCCCCCAAGCCGTAATGCACAGCACCCGTAAAATTTCACGGGCTTAATTGCGACGAAGACGTTTTATGCGTGTGTGTGTGTGTTACATGGTTGGGGGTGCGTGACCCCATACCTGTAAGACTACCCATACGAGCCGAGGGCCCAAGGGTAATACTACAACGCCTAAAAGCCACGGAGGAAAGGAAAACACCGCACATCAGCCCAGACTAGCGTCTAAAGGGGGTAATTGAGTTTCGGTGAGCCCGCATATGTTCCAATATCCTCGCCGCACGTGCGGGTTCCCATTGCATGGCCTCCAACATGCTCTGTTGATGACCGAATCCCTCTTCAGCACGAATATAATTACAGGCTGGGCATTCTATTAACAGGCGTTCACATCCTCAATTCGGCTATTAGTACCACAACAGTGGCAAAACCGCTGCCCCCTGGGGACGTGGTACTTGCCCCTTCATGCTCTGTTTGCCTCGAAAGCCCAACAACATAAACGAAACTGCATTACCTTACGATGTGCTAAACGAGGAATGAAAACCTTAGCATGTGTTGGCCACATGACGGCTGCGGCTCCCGAAAAGGGCAGCCCCATCCAGTGCTTAAACTTCACCACTGTGATCCATCTTCGTATTTGCTGAGCGCGTCTGCCTGCTGCTGCTGTTCCCGGCTGCGTGGGTACCACACCACTGAAATGTCTGTGTCCGTATCCGCGCAGAGGCGATGGATCTCCGTCACTATGGGCAGGCAAGCGGTGTTGCCTTTCAACCCAACCATGCAGAATTCCGCCGGTTGGCTGTCCGTCTGGTATTGCACTGTCCGGCCGTACAACAGGTTCGGTGCCTGCTCTTGCAACCAGTGCAAGCTGTACAGCAGCGCCCGCAGTTCTCTTTCTGTGCTGCTAAAGTCATTCCGCTGCAGCCGCTGGGTTTCCTGAGCTTTGAAGGGCACAAGCATGCGGCTGTTGGCGCCCAGTTCTTCTCTAGGTAAGAAGGCTGCGAAGGCCCTGTCTGAGGCGTCCCCGACTAGTTCCGTCGTCAGTCGTAGGGCTGGTCCTTTCCGCCAGGTGGCTGTCCCGTTGCGCCTGCCCAGCAGCTCCATAAACAAGCCTGCCTGGTGTAGCACCTCCGCCGGGTCCCAAACCTCTTCGTCCCACGCCACACCCCGGGCTACACGCCACACCATCCACGCATACAGGGGTGCCGTGGTGACGGCGGGCGTCATGGCGATGATTTTGCCGGCCACCTGCGCCACCTGCCGCGCTGTTAGCCGTTTGCCTTCGAGCTGTGCGAGCAGCGTACGGAATCTAGCTAGCTTGTCGTCTGGTCCTCTGAATGCTTGTGCCTCCGCATCCACCTCCATCCCCAAGAATCAGACTCGCCTTCTTGGGATCAGCTGGCACTTGGACAGGCTGAGGGTGAAGCCTAGGGCTGCCAGCAGCCGTACCACCGCCCCACACTCGTACTGTGCCGCGGCCTTCGACCCCGCGGCACCCATCTGGTCGTCTATCAGGAAAGACATGCGGACCCCTAGCTGCCGTAAAGGCTGGAAAACCTTGAGCTTCATGCTTGTGTACAAGTGGCAGGCCGGCGCCAGGCCGAACGGCAGGTGTGGCCAAAAAAGCGTCTGCCCCCGCCACCGCATAGCCAGATATGTGTGCTCCCGTTCGTGGAGTGATAGCTGCCAGTACCCGCTCTTGTGGTCCGTGGTGTACAGCCAATCTTCCAGTAGGAGGTAGCTAGGTACATCTGCCAGTCGTTCGTACTTCACAGGCCGGTACTTCAAGAAACAGTTAATGTACATCGGATTAATACAGAGGCGCAGCTTGCTGTCTTTTTCCACTACCCGCAAGCCATTGATAACCGTGGGGGGGGGCGCATCTGCTGGCCATTTCCGTATCACCCCTCAGTCAAGGGCCTTTCTCAGTTCGGCTGTAACAAACTCACTGTGCTGAGTCGCGCTGCAATGGTTAGGAAACTGCACGGCTCGCGGCCGGTCACCCGCCATGATAAAGTCTAAGTCGCAATCCGGCACCGCGACCCGCAGCATTTCCCGCACTATAGCTAGCTTGCATCCCCGCTCCGGGGCTAGTTCTTGCCCTGGGTAGTCGCACGGCACCCACTCCAGCTGAATTCCGCCCTGCAGGTATCCCAGCCACCGTTTCTGTTTGTCCGTGAGGGGCCGGCCTTCGTTAGCTGCCTGAAAGAACACTCGCCACACTGCAACATGTAGACGTATCCTTCCTGGTTGGAAGTCTTCAGGATCTGGGAGCAAACAGACGACCTCTTCGAGAAACTCCTGTTCATCCCGCGGATCTACCGCGTCCTGTTGCCCCAGCCGCTGCAACCTCTGCCAGGCTTCCTGTAGCAGCTGGAGTGCCTCCCTGCCCCCAGCGTTGCGGGCACTCGCTTCCCAGGCTGGTGCTAGTCCTACGCCGCTGGATTTCCACCCTGTCGGCTGGTGACTCACCCACTGGTCATCTTCACAAGGGTCATCTTCCAACGCCCGTCCAACACCTGGACCGCGGCAGGCTTTTATTCCAGCCGTTCCCACCGACAGAACCGGCCCACCAGCAGCTACGAGACCAGAACAGTCGTGTCGGCAGCTGCATGTGGTGCCTATTCGAGGCACACACGGAGGCCAATGTCGGGCGCGGGGCCACCGTGCGCTTCCGTGGCTACACCCAAGCAGTCAGCCAGCACTTCGTAAAGCGGAATGCAGGCAAGAGCCTGAAGGTCGGCGCCCGGGCTCTCAAGAGGACCCATCGGCATTTCGTCAGCGCGGGCAGTGTCATGCAGGCGATGTACAGGATGCTCCACCTTGGGACTCCACACAAGATCACGCAGAAGCAGTTCGATGAGGCGGCGCTCCAGACTGGGTGCAAGGGCCTGACTGCCTTTGCGGCCCTGCCGTACGTCGACCTGTCGTGCCTCTTCACCGTCTCCACCGGCCATGCCCTGCTGTTCGGAGTGGTCAGCGACTTTGTGGACTACACGCTGAGGTCGCTCAAAGACATCAAGCCAGCAGACCCAGATGCCAAGCTGGTCATGTCTCGTGAAGCACGCCAGCGGGTCGCGGCCCGCAGCCAGTTCCTGGTCGTGACTTCGGACTTCGGGCGGCGGTACAAATGCATCATGCAGTACCGGTGAGCACGGCCAGCACTGGGCAGCCGGCCACACACGGGGTTCGCTAATAGCCGAGAAAGCAAATACGACCAGGGGCTTGCCTGGAAAAAACACCTTCGTCTGTCAGAGAGTTTGCTACTCTACCTATGTAATGTACTTCTTCTAGTTACACGGTTGCTCGCCACACTGCCCCCCTCCACCCATGCAGCAAGAGCTACCGCATGGAGGACTGGCTGCACTTCGTTGAGACGTTCTCCAGCTACATCTTCAAGGGGGACGTGCTGCCCGAGGCCTTGCGGGCCCTGTGTTGGAGCCTGTGCAGCACGGTCACGCACTACTTCTGGCCGCGGCCCCCTGACGAGACCCGTGAGCAGTTCCTGGTGGCAGCCAAGGCGGCTGCATGCAAGCTCAGAGCTTACACGACCAGGCTGGAGGAGTTGGAGGTGCCGGGCTACATGTTCACGGTCAACCTGCATATCTGCGTATGCCGGCTGTACTCCGACCTGCCGGTGGAACGCATGATGCAGCAAATGAAGACGCAAGGCGGAAGGATGGTGTCACAGGCACCCGAGAAGCACTATGCGCAGTGGCTGTGCCTGATGCGGGCCTCCGAGTCGCTCACTGAGGCAGACCCCGGGACCGGGGCCAAACACACGACCAACCAGCAGCTTGAGAGGATGTTGGCACGGCGCGCAGTGAACACCGAGGCTGCCTGGTTTGATAAACCAGGAGCCAACGGTTACCTGCTTGGACGAGGCCACATGGTCTACCCGAGTCCAGAACGAGTGGCACAAGTCCGGGCAGCCATGGCGAGCCTAGTGCACTGGTATGCCCTGGCATTCGAGGATGTGGCTTCCTGGACATTGGGTCCCAGTGCGAGCTACGAACTGGACACGGACCGCCTGGATAGGGTTCTCATGTCTACACCACCTGACTGTCCCAAGGCCCGCTCCTTATTGAGTGCCGAGGCACTCAACGAGGAGCAGTACTTCGGGGCTGAGTATGGGCGCCAGCAGCAGCGGATCTCCTGCTGGGCATGCTACCAGGCAGAAGTCGGCAACGAGACTCGGACGTATGCGGCCTACCTCAAGCACTTCGTCCACCTGCCCGCAGAAGATGGCGCTCAGGATGTCCGCTTCACTGTCGCAGATGTGTACTCGGGACAGGTGTTCAGCGGGGGGCTGGTGGTGGTCAACATGGCGGCCGCCCAGACAGCGAGGGCAGGCAGCCAGTGGGAGATGTGGCAGGACCTAGGGCTGCCGCTAAGTGAGCTGAAGGGCAAGTTCTGCACAGCCGCCCCGGAGGGGGACCGAAAGGGGCTGATGTACTTCATGCCATACACACACTTCACCAACCGCTGAGCAACCGCAGCAATGAGGCCGATGGATGCACCCTTGTCTGGTTGACAACGAATGACTATGAAAGTTATCCCATGCACATGTGCAACAGATGGCACGCATGTACATACATATGCAGGCGTATATGCGTAAAGGCACACTGGCAGTCCATATGCCCGTATGGAGTTTCGGTTCAGTACTCAAATGGCTTCACATTCTGCATTGTTGGAAAGAGTGCCGTCAGTGTAAGGTGCGAGGCAGACACCGCCACAGCAGTATCGGCGGGACTAGTACGACTGGTTGCTGACTGTCCAGTTCACTTGATGTGTCTTGCTGGTCACAAAGTGGACGGCACCCACGTTTCAAAGGAGTGCCCCAGATGCGCCATCCCCTATACCAACACGGTTGTTCCAAAGGGTTACAATTGTGACCGAATTAACACACGTGTCAGCCATCATTGTCGCCCATGCCTTCGCTTCCATGTGTTTCTTCTCCACCCATGCCACCAGCTTCTCTACTGACAGCACATTCCCCTCCGAGCATGCAGTCCTCGAGCGGATACAGTGTATCCTTCTGCAACCATCCTTGAGACTTGTGCCGGTATGAGCCGGCTGCCTTGTAACCCTTTTGGAACCACCCAGACCACACAAAGGGTTTAAGACAATAAGCCTCCCATTGGGTATTCACCCTAATCAGCCCTGGCAGCCGGTACTCTGAATTAATGCGACACACACGTGAACCCGCCCCCTCCATCGTCAATCCCCATCATCACAAGGCCACCTGATTTGCCGCCTTAAGGCAAGCTTGTGTATGGCCCTCTACAAGACGGGGGGCCCGGTGAGGTCAGCCGCCAGTAGCTCCTTGTACCCAGGGCGGGAAAACACCTTGGGGTAGACGGGGCCGAATGTTAACGAAGCAGCCTCTACCCACAGAAGCCCCTCAATGAGCGTGCCGGTGGGCCACTCGCAGGGATACACAGAACAGATCGAACAGCGAAAAGAAACGAAGGTCCACGCGAACCTCGCAGAGATAGTACTGATGGCGAGCTGGCGGTATTCTAGTATGGGCGCCGTACTTGTATACTTGCATGTCATCAGCCAAGTCTTATCATGACCTGCCTCGCTGTCTATGTTCTTGTATTCCATTGTTATACCTGATACAGTTTACACTAGCCACGACTCTAGGATACAGGACGGACCAATAGCTTCCGCGCCGTCTTGACCTGAACAAGTGCAACTCTATAGTTCCATAAGCTGGAAAGTGGAACAAGAATTTCCCGGAAGTAT